GCTCTTAGGAAAGCTGTTTCTCTCTTGTTTCAGCTATAACACTTGTTTGTATATATAATTAGTCGAGAAGATACCCCATCACCCGTAAAGAAGATATGCGACACAGGTGTATCTTGGTTCAATGTTCACTGTCTCACACAACCGATGTGATCCACCGAGCCGGCCCTTTTACATTGTCCAAGGGGAATAATCAACCGTACTCGCGTCGCACTTGCATTCTCCTCTTGAAATTCGACGTGAGCATCTGATCCTGCCGGCATGGGCTGCGCTAAGATATCATGCCAGTTGGCTGAATTGACATCATTGATTTATGAGAAACTGCATGCTCCATTCAGGCCTTGGCTCAGGAAGGTTTTATGATGAAGAATGTTGGTTCGAAAAACGCTTCTGAATTACTATGTTTCCAGTGATACAAAAAATAACATCTGCTGAGAAAGGAGTAAGAAAATGTAGAAGACGATTTTCATTGTCCGAATTGACAGAAGATTTGATGTAGATTCTCATTCAAAGCTAATCCGACAAATATGGGTTGAGTTTTCAGAGGTAATTTATAGGAGAGGTTACCTGAAGGTGCTACTTAAACGAGTCGAGAAAAAAAATAGAAGAAGATTTTTGATTTATATACAATGCACAGACGGGATTTAATCAGGATCTGAGGGGCGTTTACACATATTTGCTTTCCATTCCTCCATGTTTTGAATAACAACTATAAATAACTTTCTTGGGTCCGTGTGACTTGATTATAAAGAAAGAGGCCCATTTATCAAAGGAAGATGCGAGGAGGGAGGCAGCCGAGTTTGGGAGAGCGAAGCAATAATCGCAGCCTATTCTACAATCCGGGTTCGATCGTATCTAGTGGTCCTACTCGAGCCTCGCAGAGATCCAGGTTCTTCTTTGGAATTTGGAATTGTTTGATCACATCTGGCTGTACAATTACCACACCGGCGAAGCCTAGAATAACGAAAGTACCTTAGCTAGTGAGCTCTTCGGAAAAAGAAAGAGTCAATTTGTAAAATGATATCCAGACACGTACCAGCAGCTCTGTGAATCGTGGTCGCATAGGTTTTTCAAGGAAAGTCACTGTCAGTGTTAGAGAAACAATATTTGTCTTGCAAATAAAGCTGGCAAGTGAGCTACTCACATGTGCCATCCAATGTGACAGTGCTACGTGGACAGAAAGGAACATTTACATCAATAAAGCTGGGTCACTTGGTAGTTTGAATGCAATCGAAGGGTGACATACGACGATCCAAGCACCCGGAATATCAGCGCGAAGTCGAATTACTGTGAATGAAGCTGGGGGTACGACAATCGTATCTCTGAAATATCATCAAGTCGATTTTTTAGCTTACAAGTTTGGAAAAGAGTCAAGGCCATGGAAAGATCCAAATAAATCAACACATACCTTCGGAGCGGATTGGCCGTATTATAGGACACCTTCGCAAGGTTTTCGGGAGTAGGTAAGCCTTTCCCCTCGGCAACGATATGCATGTCCATCGCGTGCTGATTAGTGAGCAGAGAAAGAAATCATCAAGTCAGAATGCGACATATGTCGATTTTGATTGCCAGTCAATGACGATTCGACCCTTACCAGGTGGTAAGGATGACTCCCTGCAGGATCTATGTTGGCCAGATACAGATCGTACCATTCTGAGGTAGGATACTAAAAACAGACGCGTCTCAATCAGCCGACTGGACACGTTTTAGTCCTCAAATAATAGGAACCTACTATGACGTTTGCTACGTTAGAGCCATTGACAGCTCCCACTCCTCCGGGTGTCAAATCGTGCAGCACCGGTCGGTATGGATATGCTAGTAGCGATGAAGATTCAACAGTCAGTGTTTTTTTTCTTCCCTAAGCGTTTGCGCGGATCAGACAAAACTTACTCGTCCAGCTGATATTATTCAGAAAGAATTTCCCGATCGTGCCCGCAGGCGTAGGAGGAGGGCCTCCTGTGCGGGTGATTCCTAGCATGTTTGTTCTATTCCCGGGCGGTAGATTCTTCTGACCGACTGACACTTGCCTTTTGGCCAAGGCAGTCAGTGATTCAGATTCATCTAGGTTCCAAAGCCCTTCCACCGATTTGCTTCGCGCGTTGAGTAAGGTCCGAGCGGTTCCGTTTCTCAGAAAGCTGGCAGTGTCGTTAGTTGTTTGGAGCTCTTCCGTTCGTGGATTGGTGGTTAAAGACAAGCTGCTAGCATTGACTTTTTGGGCTAACTTGACCGCTTGAGCACGGGTTAGATGTAGTGCAGTATTATTGATAAACTGAAAGCCAAATCCAGCCTTGAAGCTTCCAGAACCAACTACTGAATTGGGGACGCTTTCCTTCAAAATTGGAACCAGACTACTGGTCGGAAGGTCAATACAGTCTCCCAAGATTTCATCTGGCCAATCCTTTGTCTGCGGTCGAGTTTGAGATTGGGATATTTTCTTTATTTTTGACTCATCATCAACCAGCCTGAGGATTCCAAAACCAGTGAGCTGAATGTCATCCGGAACCCTTCAAAATTGAGAGCAATGGAAATGAAAGTGGTAAGCTTGTGGAAGCTGGCATGTGAATTTGAAAGTTTGATCCAAACTGTAGAGACATACCACGCCCAACAATCCGAATCCATCGTGGCTCTCAAGTAGAAGCTTTTGCCAGCGTCTTCTTTCTTTGTTTTGATAACCACCGAATACCTTTGTCCGTTATGAAGCCAAACACGATGGAGAGCAGGAGCTAAAACCTCAGAGCCATCAGTCAAAGTGACAAGGCATGTAGGGTAGAAATTCAATTCAATGCGAGCACTGGTGGCCTGAGGCTGAACTTACGGCCATATACTCCGGTCCCATCAGCCTCTGTTACGTTTAGGGTGTGCTCATCGACGGAGTAGAAGAACATAGCATGAACGCCGGCGTTTATAAGGCGAAATCTTATCTTGTCTCCGGCCTTGAACGTAAATTCCGGTGGGGGATTTATTTGTTTGCATTGCTGTGCTTTACTCGCTTGCGAGCAATTCCATTCGCCGATACCGTTAATCAGTGCAGAGTTAGGGCCGGGGGCTGCTGGGGTGCCAAAGTAACCAGCCTCGCTAAGCATGTGCTCAACAATATCGGTCGAAGTGCTACATAAAGCCAAGAAAATCACATCATATTAACTATTATATAGACCATAGACTGGAATTCAAGGGAAAGACTCCAATTGCTCAACTTGTGATACCAATCCGCTAGGATTAACACGACGTCCTGATCAAAATCAACATGCCTTTTAAGTGGGTCTCGTGGTGAATGGATGATCAATGGGCCATTTATCCCGTCAGCCATCAAATTCTGGTGATGAGAACTGGCAAAATTTCATGAGCGTAGTTATCAGTACAATGATGATTTTGATTATACAAAAAAGTGTATCTTCACTCACTGATACCCTGTACGTAGTCATTGCATCATGAGACAATTGATTCGGAAAAAAGAAAGGTTTATGATCAGTTCCGTGAAGCTTTCCTAAACCTTGATGTAAGTTTGATGATTAGTAGATAGATGCATGCTTGTGATGCTCACAGAAGGTTCCGAACCTGGATACCAAACATAAATATAAATATTGCGCAAATCAGCATCATTGAGATTTTTTCTCAACAAAGATCGAAAGTGTTATACTCAACTGCCCATGTAAATCAAATGTATACGTGAAACTTCCACCATCGGCAGGAATGGGACATTGGGTAACACCTAGAAAATGAAGGGTACTCTAGTTCAAAATCAGTCGAGATTGCTAAAAGTTTTCCACTTCATCAAGGTTTCTTCTGCTTACCAGTTACACCATCTTCCCAACTAGGAACCAAATTTAATCAGTCTTCGCGCTGCGGTGAGGGGATGTAGGCGAAAGAGCGGTATAAAATCACTCAACTTTGTTCCATTCTGATAATATTGATTTAGTGCACGGATGAGGGGCCAAGGTTTACCATCAACAATAGAGTCATCATTTTTCAGATTACGGGATTAATGAAAGAGACGGGATGGGTTGAGAGGTTGAGTGTAAGACAACCTCCAAGTCGCACACCCAACGCCAGAATAGAAGCAAGAGATAAAAACTGTGAAGTTGGGTACTCGCCTGATAGATACCATGCCAATGTAAGGTCAATCCAACCGACATTTGATTTACGACGGTGATCTCCAAATGATCACCTTCATTCGCCTGGGATACAAAAAGACAAATTCCAAAGGGTATATATTGCAATCAGAACGGCCCCATCAATAGTTAACTGTCCAACGGACTTGGAAAATACATGGCCACACACCTCGATCAGGGGACCTGGTATCTGCCCATTGATGGCCAACACCGGTCGCAGGAAACCATCTAGAGCGGCTGTGCTCTCGGTGACATGAAAGGTGTATTTACGTGTTTTCGGTTTGTCGGTAATCTCGAAGTCTGGGCTCAAGATATACTGATGGGGATGGGCTGAGGCTGCCGAAGCGTACTGAGATTGAACAAGCGGCGACGCGTTGATGGTGGTAAGGACGCAATATAGTAGGAAACATAAAATTGACGCAGAGGAACATCCCGCCATCTTGAAATATTGTGCTCCTTTCGAAGTACTCTTTTGGCGGATGATTAATCTGATGATGACAAAAGCGAGCACCGGTTAGCGAGGAATGTCCTATCGACTTGATAGTTTTGAACAAGATTTCCGTTTAAATATTTTTATCACTGCTCTCTTGTGGCGACTGCCAGGTAAGAAGATGAGCCTTAGGATGACTGAGAGGAGGAAGGTAAATAAATAAAGAAATATTTGGCGCTCAATACAGTCTCCCGATCTGAAGCGAGGTTTGAATGAGTATTGATTAGTAACAGATGGATGATTATTATATCTGTCTGGTGCAAAACAAAGAGATAAGAAGAAGAGCTGGAAACATTTATATAGGCGTCTCTTCAGCAAATTGAGCACATGTGGGCAGCCAGTCTGCCAAAACTATGAACACTCTTTTCCGCCAGCCAAGCCGGCAAGGAAGGCGGTTCGAACTTGTCGATCGCAAAGGAAACAAACACTGTCGATTCCAAAATGAATGCGGTGGAGGGCGCGTCACCACGAGAGCTTTTAGCCGGCCCCCAGATAGCTTGTCAAGATGAGGAGGCGATAGTCTCCATCACCGGCCATCCAAATCCGTGTCCTGTGAAAATTGGGAGTTCCCGTTCCGATCCATAGATTCGATCGGTTGTAATAATATATGCCTGCACAGCTCTGCAGGTTGACCGAGTATGATCCTGTATGATGGCATAGCTTTGCCCTACTTCTTTCGTCCTTCTCGGCTATCCAAACGAAAAAAAAGAAACTCACCTGTTCCTGTGGAAGAGTGCAAATCCCAGAAATGACAATAGCCCGGGTATTTTCAGTATAGAAGAAAGATCTTGTGGTGGTTACAGCCTGTGATTGATCAAGGCATGTCTCTGGTGGATGTGCACTTTTGGAACTTCACCGGATCTCTGGACCGGACAGACACATACGGCGGGGCGCTGAGGAATCTTGTCTTGAAGATAGATTGTAACAGCTTTCATTTCGATTAAGATGAGCTTATGGATATAAACACATGGTCAAGTAGTACTCAGATAATCGAACCACTTCGTCATGAGCTTGGACCTTGGCTCAGCAGATTCCTGAAGGAGGGATAACAGTTGAACGATGTCGATGTTTTCATCAAATCGGTGCCACCGATGACTGCTGCACCTTATTTTTCGAACTCCGCTCGATTTAAGTTTAGAGCGGTCTCCGTGTTTGGGGAAGACAGGCATAGTCAAGCTTCAAGCTTCCCCTTCTTTTGGACGGGAGTGATCCAAATTGTTTTCAATAAAACAAACCCCAAACACTTCACCGGAAACTCCGAGAATCCGAGGCAGACATTTTCCGATTGATCACAAGCCTCGGAACTTGGAAGTCGTGCAAGTGAGATCTGATAACTTCAAGTGAAGAATACATACGATGGAATGCTGTTGAGAGTTTGTCTGAGTCCCCCGGGATTTGTCAGACGGCCGGCGCTGTGGCCGCGAAGGGCGCTCGCAAGCTCAGGATCTCAGATATCGATCGGTGAGATCATATCCGATTATATTCATCGCCGAAAGACCTGTACTGAGCTGTGGAAGGTTCACTTGAGTAGAGAAATAATGATAAATATTTACAACAAATCACCTGAGATAAGGTCGGTCCAGCGTGGTTCTCTCACATGAAGTACAATTTGGGTCGTTGATAGCAAGGATCAAATTGGTTCTTCCTGCAGCAAGAAGAATGCAGACCTTTCGGCACTCCAACGTCTGTTTTCAATGACTAGTGATCAAGTCATCTGGTCGACTTTTAGAACATTGTTTCTAAGCATCGATAGCCCACAAGTATCAACAACCCACAGACTCGCCGGGCTCCTGAATTAATGCGACTAAATATCAAATTAGTTAACACACTCCCACAGCAGATGGCCCACTGCTTGGAGGTCCAAAGAGGTCCAAAAGCTTCGACATCAAACACAGATTCAGAGTTTTCAGTGTGGATGGTTGCTTTACCATTGTTTTGTACAAATTTATTTCAGTTTATTCTTATTTACTTGGTCTGCATACGCACAACCGGACTAAGCTTGAAGCTACACACCTAAGGAAAAGAGACCAAGAGAGTTCTTTGGTGTGAGAGTGCTTATCATGCTTTCTGCGCAGCCATCATGTCTTGTGCTCATACTGCCCCTGTTCAAGTCCAGACCTCGGTTGCTTGCAAGAGCTTACAAGTTGCCCTTCCCTGAAGGATGATTGATCGGAACCCAGAGCATCGGATGACTGACCGAGATGAATCTTAGACTCTGACCATGGAAAGCGAACTGGAAACTTTTATTCCTCCTACAAGAACCGGCACTTCTCCCGAACTCCTAAACAGGAAAGACGAAGTTCGGTTTTTGTATTTTTAATCGACTTTCCAGCAAGAATTTCTGTAGGTTGGTCACCCAGAAGAATGAACCGATTAGATTAATGAAGTCATA